TTGTCCTTCCCCCCAATTTTTGCCCTCTCACTAGTGGTAAAGGAAAAGCGGTGTTTGAGGCTTGAGTTGGCCGTGGAAGTTCGAGGTAAGTGTTTGGTCTAACCTTAGCTTGAGGGATTAGGAGTCGACTCCTATTTGCTACGTGATTAGTGTTGAGTACGACGTATAGGCATGGTGACGAGTATCTATATGTTGGTGTCAAGCATGACCGTGAGTCTTATAATGTGATTTTCATGATTTCGTTGAATTATCTATGCTTTAGAAGTGATTTCAATTTGTTGTATAAAGTTTGTGGAAAGAATTGTGACCTATGAATATTGAGGAGCATTGGCTCAAGTTGTATAGCGAAATTGTGAAAGTATAAAGTGACAATTGAACTTTGGAAGAATTAGCTCGAGTTGTGAAATGAGTTGTGAAATTATAAGTGATAATTGAACCTCTAGAGCATTGGATCGAGTTATGAAGTGAATTGCGAAGTAAAGTGAGAAAGAGAAGAGATCATTATGTTGTCACCCTTGCCGGGCTATTGTTGAATTATTTGTTATATCCCTTGCCGGGATGTGGATGTTATTGATGTTGTTCCCTTGCCGGGATTTAATTGTTGACCTGTTGCTCCCTTGCCGGGATTCTTATTGCAAACTTCCTTTATTTCCTTGCCCTATTATTTGTGATTGTTGTTTGGGTGAGGAAGAGAGTTAAAGAACGAAGGGTGACGCCGTACATTGTTTGCTTTGTGAGGAAAGAGTGAAAAGCACGAAGGGCGATGCCATGCCGCACGATGTACCATTCCGTGCCTATTATATTGATTTCATAGTGAGGAAAGAGTGTAAAGCACGAAGGGTGATGCTGTGCCGTACGATGTACCATTTCGTGCCTATTGTATTGATTCTTATGGTGAGGACGAGAGTAAAAGCACGAAGGGTGATGCCGTGCATTTGTTAATTTCTGATTCTTTGTTGATATCCGAGTTATGTTGTTTCTTTCATTACTTGTTATATTATTTGATTTTACTTGAGGTTATAGATTCCCTTACCCTATTTGCCTTGTGATTGTTGTTTGGGTGAGGAAGAGCGTAAAGCACGAAGGGTGATGCCGTGTATTATTTTGGTGAGAGTGTTAAAGCACGAAGGGTGATGCCGTGTACTGTTTGGGTGAGAGAGTGTAAAAGCACGAAGAGTGATGCCGTGCATTTGTCTTTGATTTCCTAATTTTTATTGATAACTGTGTTACGGTTCCTCTACATTAAATTTCTGGCTTCCTGTTGATACTTGTTGTACCCCGCAGCATGATTTCCCCTTCCTATTTTCAATTGAACTGTGGTGATCCTCATATTTATTTGTTGCTCTTCTGTCACTATTCGATGTTTCCCCGCAGCATGTTTTTCCCCTCCCATACTTGATTGTATATGACTGTTTCCTTCTGTACTTCTTTTCTGCTGTATATAGTTGAATTGCACAGGTTTATTTGGTAGTCTGGTCCTAGCCTCGTCACTACTTCGCCGAGGTTAGGCTAGACACTTACCAGCACATGGGGTCGGTTGTGCTGATACTACACTCTGCACTCTTTTGTGCAGACCCCAGTGTTGCAGACTTCGGATCGTAGTGGGATTGCTGATTCTTGCTCATCAGGCGACCCAAGGTAGACCTGCAGGCGTCCGCAGGCCCTGGCGTCTCCCTCTATCTCTATTTCCTGTTTCATTTTCCTTTTATTCAGAAATATTGTACTGTTATTTCTTCAAACCCTGTATATAGCAATCTTAGATAGTCTGTGACATTGTGACACCAGATTTTGGGTATTGGAGATTTTAAAAGTTGTAATAGACGTTGGTTTCAGATATTTCATTGTTGTCTTCCGCTAAATCATTTAAAGTTCCGTTGTTTTCATGTTATCGCGTTTATTTGTTAAAAAGAAGTAATTTGGTAATGAAGTAGGTAGTTAAGGTTTGGCTTGCCCAGCTCTCATTAGTAGGCGCCATCACGACTCCCGAGGGAGAGAAATCCGGGTCGTGACATCCGGCCCGGGATGTTATTAATAAATAAAGAGCCAACACAAGATGTAAGTTAAAACAAAGGAAATAACTCAAGAAAGATTACGCGGAGTATTGATATGAGAATGACTAACGAGCAGTTAGTAGTTGATTCAGGAAGAGTCTAGTTATGGCTAGACAAGAGGATAAAGACAAATCAGCAGATCAATGCAAGACAAACACAGGGAACCCCAACATGGGGAATTCATCCTCCCAGTTATGACATTGTAATACTTGAGATATATTCGTATAAGAGTTGGGGAAGTTAAAAAGGTACCGTATGAGTATTACAGAAATAAAAGATAATGCCACTGGGAAGACAATCAAAATATCAGTTCAGAAGCAACCCTACAAGCACAAGGGCATGGAGGTAAGTATCTACGGATAATTAGAGGCAATGAAGAACATCAAAAACTCCATCGGGTATACGATGTAATAAGCTCGTAGCTTTACAAGATTCAGAGGGTCCTCCTTAAGTACTACAATGGAAGACTAGCTGAGGAAATAAGAAAGAAGGCTTCAACCTAAACATAGAAACTCGAAGTAGAAATGGTCATGCAAAAATAGTCTCACTACAAAAATTATACGCACTCCAAAAGAAAGTGGCACCTACCGTGGCCAATGAACGGGGAGAAAAATCGAAGGTAATATTCGAGACCATATGAGCTGCACAAAAAAAATTCCGGCATGCGTGGGAGCTAGGATAAGTTAAGTATGCATGCAATAAGGGGGCAGAAAGACCAGAAAAAGTAACTGCGTACATTTAAAGAAAGCTAAGAAGGAACGAATGGAATTATTCGATCAATGATTCCAAGTTGGTGATGTTATGAACGCACTTAAGAGTTTGGAGTTTTAGACTTGCAGCATAGACAGCCCTAGAAGATTCTAGTATACGTTAAAAGAAAGAATTGAGCCCAGGTCATAGACAAAGGATTGAATTGTTAAAGGATTGTATCATGGATATTCCATAACGCCCATGAAGGGCTAAGGTAATGACTAATACCAGGAGACGCAGATCGGAAGATAGCTTAAGCATACATAAAGGTTGATTAGAAGGAAGAGGAAGAGTTACATCAACTAAGTAAATAAGGAGTCTGAGTATTGGACCCAGAAAATTATAGACATCATGATTGAGAACATTGCAGAATCACTCTTAACATAAGATGTTAAAAAAGAGATAGTACAACAGCCATATTTTATAACGGCCCTACGATAAAGCGAGTTAGAAAAGTACCAGCCTCATAAGAAGTCAGTACAAAGCTCCCACCGGATTGTGTATGCACTAGAGGTGCAAGTATTATAATAGAGCTTCAAGTTGTGGAGGTGAATTATACCTATGTGGAAGGGAGGTTATGAAAGGAATAGAAGAGGTGAGGCGATATTTTAAGGTAAGTAAGGTAAAGGTACGACATACTCAAATGCAGAAGGTTGTAAATAGTCCATACTATTGATAGAACGCTAGAAGTACTGGGATTCAGTATCCAGGAATGTTAGCAGCATCGTTCGTGCCATATTTTCCGGCATATGGTTTCTAGGTATCGAGAGGTCTAGTTAAGAGAGTAAAGAAGAATTAGAGACGATGTCATGTCTCGCTGGATGTTCTAGAATTACATAAGGAAATCTATGGCGCAAGCAAGTTGAAGGAAGGTTGCGAGTAGTATTAATAGATATGTGTAAGTCTCAAGCTAAAATATGATAAAGCGACAGAATTTTAAGAAAATAGGAGTAAGGGTAAGAAAGGACGAGTGAGAAGGTGACGAGAATGGATAAGTCCTCAGGATTAAACCATGAAAATAAGAGGGCTGATGGTTTCTCTATGTTATAGGAAATTCAGTATCGCCTGAATGAACTCAAAGAAATCTAAGACTAATGGCATTTAGGAGAGATGGAATGCTGCCTTGGTACTAGAATAAGGGTGTAATTGTGATAGATGAAGGATGACGTTTGGTCCTTCAATTAAGTAATGATTTCATGAATTGTACAGGATTAAAATACCCACGTAAGACGAATCACATTGGAATGACTATGATATGAAATACGGTTATGGAAGTACAGTATTGCCCAGGTGGATCAGGAAAATCACTTCAAATGTTCCACGATGCAATGTAAGCCTTAGTGGCAATGTATTACGTAAGAAATTTCAAGTTATCAATGAAAGATTGTAAATCAACATTGAGGTGGATCAACAATGGATGGATAAAAGTTATAAAAGTATTCACAAGAGCTATAAGTTATGATAATAATAAGTGCATCAGTCAACATTCGAAGACGAATGTTCCAAATGGGGGAATGATGTTACACCCCATGTTTGCGTGCGTGAAAGTACGACATAAGTAAAGTGATGAAAGTTCGGAAATGAGATATTATATTCTGCATTTTCGCACGTTAAAGCGTCGTCGTACATTAAAGCTTCGTCGTAATATTAATCGACGTAAATTCGGGAATGAGATTTATTTTGGGATTATAAGTATTACACTATTTCAAACAAGTGATGGGTAAATTCGTGAAGGTAAGAGAGGAAGCGAGTCAAAGAAAATGAATTTTCGTCCAAGTTTGGCATGTTGGGATAAATTACGGGTCGAGCGTTAATACTCGGTATTTATGGACTAGTACAATACAAGGTACCACATGGCCATGATAGTAAGGTGTATAAAGTATATTAAAAGTGAGTAGTATTTTAAGTAATTGAAATAATTCTTAATTGTGTGGATAATTGGTTAATTATTGAATTAGTGGGGATTAACAAATTAATTAAACTAATTGGTGGATAATATTAAGGGGACACTATGTTGATGTCTCACTCTGAAATTAGGCATTTGGTTCTTATCCATTCTTACTGCTTACCTAGCTTCCTCTGGTAATTCCCCTAGCTTTCAATTTTGTTACTTAGAAACAAATGTCAGCGTGAATTAACGAATTTTTTTTTGTTTTTCAAATTTTCACCAAAGCCCTAAAACTTAAATAGATGACACCATATGGTAAAAATTAACAAATTAGAAGATCAAACATCTTTTGAAACAGACTAGTCATACCACAATGTGAGATAATTCTTGAGCAGTTAAAACATTGTAACAAAGTTACATCCCATACTGCATTTAAGCTTGGATAATGTAAGTCTTGGTTTGTGCATAGCAGCAGTTTCCTATCAGCAGAAAACAAAGGGGGTAGTGTTTCCTATACTGTCATACCAGATCAATCTGCCCACTCTCCACAAGTGGCTTTATGGACTTGTAAGGCAGAGCATATAAATCATTGGCTTCAATGTTCACTGGTTCTTCCCCACTGTCATCAAAGAAAGACAAGTCAAAGATAGAAGATAATCAGGCAGGATTCCAAACAAAAACTACAATAAAGTAAGGAAATTTGCCTGTCATCAAGCTGAAAAGCTCCTAAAAATCTCTTGCTTCTGCAGATAACATACTGATCCAGCTGTGGCTCAGGAACTACAAGACACAAGCAGAGAAATCGTTACTTCAGTACAAATGTAAATCCTGGAAGTCTTTATATCTGAGATGTCTAAAATGCTAAGATAATAAGCTGATATCATGAGTACAAGAATTTGCACCACGCCTTAAACGAACTCACAATCAGATTGCAGGTTTGGCAATTCGTTAGAGCATTTATATTGCTGCACCGTGTTCATAAACAATTTATATCACTTAGCAATAAACCTTCTACTATATCAAAATGCTCTCTTTATGGCATAACTATTTATCTTCCCAGAAACTCTCTTAGCTCATATAGATTTTCAACACACACGGAGATGTATAAATAAGTAGATAGAAGAGAGTAGAAAATTTTATCTTAATCAATCTGTACGGAGTATGGAAAGCCTACCCATGTCATCTGCCAAACTTAGCGAAGATTGCTTCAAATGGGACTTGAAACCTTGAGGCAACTTTGAGAGAACAGATTGATCTAGATGTTGCTCCATATCGTCAACACACCTATCATCACAGGTAATCAACATCACAAACTTGGTATGCATTGAACACTTAGAATAAGGAATAACAGATCTACCTTTCAGCAAAATTCTGCTCTTGTTTAGATAGACGATTCCTTAAGTCAGTAGTTTTTTGTATGTGAAATGCATAATTTTCAATCTGCAGTCAAATGTTAATTACAAAATGAATGAAGATGGGATAAGCTACATCAACACAATGAGAGACTGTTGCTCGGGCTCTCTGAAAATGTTGCCGGGTACGTGTCGGATCCACCAAAAGCAGTGCATTTTTGGAGGATCTGCCACGGGTGCGGCAACATTTTGGAGAGTTCGCGCAACATAGCTGAGAGATGAGATCCAATCACACGCAAACAGAAAAAAAATTGCTTTAACAACACTTTCAGTAACTTAAAGAACTATTTGAAACTACAAGTGGTTGGTAGACTGAGGTATCTCTCCAGCGTCACGACTATAGCTCTTTCCAGAATATGAACTTCACCTTTATCAAAGACACAATAAGATACGACAATTCACGACTACCTTTTGGAGACGGGTTCTTAAATATGATCTCAATAGAAACAGAGTTCTATCCAAGTCCATCTGGTACAGAGACACAGTGAGTGGATCAACACCATTTTTTGAAAATTCCTCCACTGTTTCTTCCTGAAGAGCAAAGAATAAGAAGCATCAGCAATGCGATATATTATTGTAAACAATGAAGTCACATAAATTAATAATGAGTAACCTAAGACGAGAACCTACAGCAAAAGTAAATTCATAAAAATGAAAAATATACCAGAAGACATAAATGGAACTTTCAGCATTATCAAACGAAACATAGATTTGGACTGTTAGAGGAGTTTTACAATCCACTTCAGTAACTATGACAACTGATTAGTGCACCAATATGAAGATATAGTTTTTTTTTAAGAAATAAAATCTTTACATTAAATGAACTCATAGGGTGAAGTTTTATAGCTGGAAGTACAGATAAGAGCTCCCACCAGATACATTTCTCAATCATAACATCAAGATTACCTAATCAGAGCTACTAAACAATGGTTCCCCAATCATATTAACAATTAAAGCTTCTGCAATGATTTCAACAATGTCCTATTCATGACCTGTCTGACGGCATCTTTCATCCTAACATGTCTTCAGCCAGTGTTGGCTTGAATTCATAACACTCTGCTGAAGTAGATGTTCATGAAGTGTCTCGATGGATTGAAGCCAATCAAAATAAATATGGGTGCCAATTGGATATAGGAAAAAATGTCGTTCGCTCCAGAAAAGGTAATACATCATAACCTAAAAAGTTGAGGTAATGAAAGTAAGAAGTAGATGCCATGAAGAGCAAATTTGACAGCAAACCAGGAATGAGACCATGAGCCATCAAAACAGGTGAGAGAAAATAATGTAAGACATACAGCAAAACAAACACAGGGAAAAAAGAGTTGCAGTGGACATTAAATGCATACACACGACCATTCTACCAACTGTTCCATTAAGTAGCAGCAGTAGCACCTATAGGTTCTTTAAAGGTTCTGTTTATTACCAATTTGTTTTTCTAGTCAACAGTCAAGACTGTACCCTATCAACGATATTGATCATCTTTTAGATTTCATTAGTTCTTTAGCTCTGGCTTAGTCAATTATGTATAGGAGCCAGGAATATTTTTTGTAAGCTCAAATGCCAAATCATGCACTTCTTGCATCTTCTTGATGCCTTCTACAGAAATCACTTACTTTATCAGAAAAAAAATTAATTGAATAATTGTCCACTGAAATTATCTCTATTAGGTAAGTATGTACACCTAAAAGTAAATCTCATCCTTTTGAGAAGACCAAGAAACTTCAGTTGAATCATGCTAGATGTCTGGGGCAAAACAAAAAATTGTGTGTTTCTACAGCTACAGCATAGTCCGTTATAAACACCCATCTGAAATTATGAGACCAGCTAATAATTCCCAACCAGAGCCATATGTCCACCACATAACATCAAACGAAATACAAGTTTAACACAAAATAAGTATTAATACCTCTGTCAGTTTTATGTGGTGCACTTTTTTTATTAGTCCGTCTTATAAAGAATAACACCATTCTATATTTAAAAATAATTTAACTTTAAGCTTCTCATTTAACCCTCAATAAGATGAATTACAACCACAAATGTGTATGGCTTATTTTAGACTACAAGTTTCAAAAGTCTTTAATTCTTAAATTCCGTGTCAAATCCTTACATAAAATGGGATGGAGGGAGTGACATAGAAAGGAATCTATCTAATACTTAGAATATAAGGTGAAAGCTAAAGTTCAAAATTAACCAGTCAAATCTAATCTAAATATGTAAAATGTGCATACCATCAATTGGATCTGTTCTCTAGACCGCTGAACTAAAGCAGCCTCAAATTGAAGAATTTCAGGAGCAGCCTTTTCATTCCGCCATGCCCGTTTCAAGAGCTCTGCATCAGTTGTTGACAGTAAAGATTCATAATCATCATCCACCCCAGCTGAATATCCGGATGCGTCACCTGAATCCATTTTCTCCCTTTCTCACCAAAAATTCAAGCTTTTCTGCAGTAGCACACACCTTGAATTACAATCCTAAAACAATATAAAACAAAATAAATAGAAAGAATAATTGTGCAACCAGTGCTTTTTCACTATATTACACCAGGAATTGACAAAAATGTTGGCCAAAAATATCAAATATAAGATGGCATTTTCACAGTGAAGTGTCAAGCTGAAACAAAGAGGAAAGAATTCATATTAAAGGGGAAAAAGACTGGCAATAGGCAATATCTAAAAGTTCTGAAAGAAATTTTTAAGAAAACACAAAGCTACAGGATTCTAAAAGGAGAAGATACCTATTAGACCCAGGGAAAGAATTCAAAAAAGAAAGCAAGCCCCAAACCACAGATGAAATTGCTCCGGTGGTTTAAGATTTTGAGATTACTTAATGTGCAGCAAGTGAGGGAGGTAACAAGTTCAATTTGGATCGATGGGCTAGGAAGCTAAAAGGAGCTCAAGAAAATGGATAATACGTGATTTGCACGTCATGTTCGCAGTCATCCCTTTTTCTGCCGTGTCTACTAGTAGAGAGTAAATATCAGATTTATCCTCTCCATTTTTTAATTTCCCCGACTTAATTACAAAATTAACATATCCAAGGAACTTATAAAAATAACAGGGAAAACTGGGTAATTCAAAGACAAAGGGGGTGCTAGCTAAACACCCTCTACGTACAGGTTAAATTGAAATAACATCATGTTCGTTACAAGTCGAAATTCTACTTTTCCAAGGGAACTGAGAAAATCCAAAATATAAATATTTTCAACAACATTAGGTGGATTAAAATAACCCCATTTTTGCTACAACGTTCACCACTTAACTTTGGCTTTTCTGAAAATGTGACAAATGCTAGGACAACCAACTTCATTCATAGTCACATTGATTTCGATCACCAAGGTTTTTTTGATATTAACCAGTATTGAAATAGGACTAAAGTTTTTGTTTTTATTTTATTCTAGGAAACGGTGTTTGTAATAGGAAAACTAAAATAAGAAAGCAAAATTGTTGCATTTAAACACCATACCATTTTGGTGCAAATTGAAGAATGAAGAGCCTTTGGTGGCAACACTAACGTCCTATAATCTCTTTACCTTTACTGCTTTTTTTTTATGGCTACGAGGGGCAAATGAAAGTGTGTGCATGTATGTTTGGCCTTAGATGATCAAGTTTTTCTTCTCCAATTTTCTTAACATTGTTGGCCATGTATAGGGATGGCAATGGGGCGTAGTAGGGCTGAACAAGTCTTGACCTGCTAACATTTTGACCCGTCCTATCTTACCCCATTTAACATTTTTCCAGATTTTTGCCCTACCTTGCCCTGCCCCTTTAAGTCATGCGCAGGTGAGTTTGCTTTAATTATCTATGTTCGATTTTATTTTAGGATCATATACAAAACTATGCTAATTCATCATATATCGAAATTAGATACATTTAATTTTTATGGTCACGATAAAAGATTTTTTTTAATTGCTTTCCAAATATGGGATGTATTAAGTTGGATTTGATTTTTATGGACATATATTTTGACTAAAAGTGTCCAATTCCGTTTCTAATCCAATTTCAGAGCTTGCTATAACAATCATCTATATCAAATTATCAATATTACACATAATTTTCTTTAAATTTCTTTTCCTAAAAGTACCAACCGGAGGTTCAATATCCAGTTAGTGGCTGCAACATCACTTTAGACAAAATGGTGTAGTATTCAAATCTCACGAGAAGTGCCTATTTTATCAACAAGGAAAGAAAAGGGAACTAGAAAAAACTGTATTAGCAGCTAAAGGGATAATAAGGAAAGGGGACTCCACGTGCAGCAGATCGAACAAATAGGGCAACTCACCACGAAGTCTCCAATGCAAGTTCCTGAGTAGCTGGATGGGTACTGTCGTGCCCCATTTTCTCGCAAAAGCGAGTTTCGACATGTGACAAATCTTCTAAATAGTTATTAAAAGAGAAAAGTCGTCACCTAATGATTTTAAGATGCGTCAGGGAACCTACTTGCAAATAACTCCGATTTGACTAGTCAATGTCACCAAAGATCGAGTAAGAGTTCAAGTTACCTCAAAGAGAAGGTGGTAGGCACTCTTCGAGGTCCACAAATATGGTTCCCGGCCGAATTTTAAACTATGTGGGAATATTGGGTTACTACTCGAAATTAAACTAGTTTGTTTACTAGGCGGTTAAATATGCAAACAAATAGAGATGAACAAATAATTACTTAAAAGTTAAATGCATAAAGAAAGAACTACTAGCCTAAAGGAACTAATTAATTATTTAAAGGGGGGCCTAAATTTTTAAGCCTAATGGATCAACTCCCGTGCAAAGTCTGCTAAGACTTTTGTAGCCAAAATGCAATGGCTATTCGGGCAATTTGTGTATCATCTCCGCTACACTCATTACTATCTTTAAGTTGTTACCTAAAGCGCACTAATTGATCCTAACACGTGACTTAAGATTGCTACCCGTTCCTTCCTATAGTCCAAGAGGCATTGGACACTATCTAATCGGTGGTACTAGACTTAAAGAAAAGCTCAAGGTTCTAGTCTAATTACTTATTAGCATCACATAAAGGGGAGCACATTGGACTTATACAAGTTGCACACAGGACGAGCAAGGTCTCACATTGGCCTCCAAATATATTAAGTAATTAATAATTACTGGAATAGTAATCTAGGGTCTTAAAAATGAACTAAGTTATTTGATATAATACTCGAGATCTGAAAAAACTGAAGCAAATATAATTGAAAACAAGTATGATAAAAAAAGCGTGTTTAAAAGAGTAAGTATAGCAGAATATTTATAAGGCAATTTTGATTTTTTACTAACCAATGTATCAAAAAATAAAATATTATTCATCAAATTTTTATAAAGCCAAATTGGCAGGTGTATTGGTAAAGAAAATCTTAACTAAAAATATCCAAAATACTTGCGAAACTAACCCCAGATTATCATTTTTTAAACCACAATAAAAGACAATTTTAGATTTTAGATAAAGCCAAGTGAACCTATATGCTTAGAAAAAAAGGAAAGAGTTTTAGAGCTAGAATAAGATACAGAGAGGTGCAGATAATTTCAGAATAGGATCAAGTGCTTACAAAACAATTTAATACTATAATAGACTCAAATGGGACTACAACAATTAGGTACTAACTTTCAGCAAGTCTAGAGTACTTTAGCTTTTTATTAATTTACTAACATGTCAAAAAAATTGTAAGCTTGAGCAGTAAATTATAGAAGACTCGGCCTACTTAAAAAAACGCATATCACTACTCATAAGTAATTAGGATTAGCAAGAAAATATACTTTGATATACTTCTATGCAATAGCTAGCTGTTAGACTGGAATTGACAACTAATCATATAAGTGAAACTTTCAAATAAATACTTAGCACATAATATCACCTTTTCCATTGTGACAAAGTTATTGCATGCTAATACTACAACAGAGTCCAAAATAAAACTAACAGGTCCTTAGACTTCGGCATACTTAACAAGAATCTTTCTCCAGGGGGTTTTCCACTCTTCAAATTTTCAGCTTTGGTCCAAATATTTCAGATCGTGACCCTGCTATTCCTGAACACAGAGAACATACAAACATGCATCTGAATTGATTTTGCTACATTACAATGCTTCAATTGGTTAATCAGACTTATTATTCCCGAAGCACGCTAGTTCTGTGATGCTCAAATTCAGGCTTATGTTATTTAAATACCCCAAGTCACACATCAATCAAATGCAATCCTTATACATTCTTAAGAAATTACTCATCCAGATGTAGATTAAAGGGTTAGGCAAATTTCATTATTAAATCAAATTTCATAATATTTGGAACTTACAGCATGGTCCTCGACACTTTAAACATGAGACTCTTAGGACATTGGGATGCTTAACACATGAGGAATAAACCTAGCATAAATTTATATCTAGACAAACATGGAGTGCAGGCAACCCGATTACAAGCATTAATTCATATCTCATTTTCTAACAGCACCTATGTATTCAAGCAAGTTTTAGCAGGATGACCAATCCACAGAAAGCAGTAAAGGCATGCTTCAAACAGAGAAGTTTCACGCAAGTAAGTTAGCAATGTTCATAAAGAATGAGGGAACTGACCTGGGAGCTTTCAGGATTAATATAGCATTCCAGCAGCATAAATATTTAAATCAACTACTCTATATACGACTACCACGCAAGAAACTAAGAAATGGCATCGAACGCTACTACTTTACACATAACTAAAGCATAGGAAGCTAAAAACAGTATCGACAAGAAACTAACCAATTTGTGAAGCTCCGAATTAATAAGAAAACCAGAAATCCAAATACCGATAAACGAACAGAGCTTGGGCAGCAGTAAATAAGCCAAACAAACTTCAGAATACTCAGTGATAAAAAATTTAACGACAGCAACAAGAAACCAATACTCGAATCTTCACGCTCCAAGATTGCAAGAACCTCTAAAGGTTCCAAGAAATATACTCGTATTGAGTGAATTAAAAGAAACCAAACTTTGCCGCGACTTACAGCTAGCAAAGCAGTAGCTGAAAAGCAGTGAATATAGTATATCCTAGTAATATTATATCAGTGGTGAAGAGCAGTGGTCCAAAAGCCATCCCAATTGCCTTAAGTCTTAAGGGTGGTATAATAGACCATTGTGGTCCGGCCCTTCCCCGGACCCGCGCATAGCAGCAGCTTAGTGCCACGGGCTGCCCTTTAATTAGCATAAATTGGAGGCCACAACTTTGGGGGGAAATGATCTTTTTAATATTTATAAAATTCGACCGCTAATATAATTAGAGCAAGAAATCATGCCAAGAAGGAAAGAAACTTACAAAATTGAGATTCTCTAATCAAAATAAAATTATATCAAATCAAACTTGATAATAGAGAGAGTGGAACCCGCGAGAAATTCGAAATCCTTACCTATTTGGTGACATCTTGAGCATAGACTGATTCTCCAAAGAGATTCGTACCCAAATCTTCAGCTAAAATTCGTTCTTTAAAGGAAGAAATACTTTCTGATTTTGAGTGATTAGGGAAGAGATTGTGCTATGACACTTAGTAATAAAATGGTAAAACAATTAAGGAAAGGATATAAAGAGGCTAATTAAAGTGATAAAATACAGAAATAAAGGAAAAGGAAAAGGAAAAAATGGGTATTATGGCGAGGAAGATGGGGAATTTAGAGAAAGGATTTTTGTTTGGAAAATACTGTGAAGGGTATTGGGCTTAGTGTATTGCCCGTTTGGATTGGTTTATTTTAAGTGCTTTTAAGCCAAAATAACTTTTAACCCATTTTGTAGTGTATGGATAGAGTAAAAAAAGTGTTTTTAAGCACTTATGTTTAAGCTAAAATGACAAAAACAAGTCAAAGGCTAGAATTCCTAACTTATGTCTTAAAAGCTATTTTGGCTTAAAAACCACTTATTTTTAAGCCCATCCAAACGAGCTCTTAGTCTACAAGTAAAACGGGCTAGGAGTAGTAGATGGGTTTGGGTTACTCAAATGTGGAAGCTATGAGCTGCTATTTTAGTCAAGTGACCATAAATAATTTTAAAAAAAAAAACTAACTAATAAGTTATAATTAAAGAAAATATATTAAGTGAGAAATTATAAAAATAAATGTTACTTTACATAAATACTTGGACAGGTTAAAATAAATTGCAATGCCTTATGTTCCCGAAAATTATTAATTTAATGAATAAAATATGTGGCAAGTATTTATAATAAAGGTAAAAATATAAACTTCTAATAGTTGAATTAAGATAAAAATACTATAACTATCATTATGACCTTTTTTTAAAAGAAAAATAGCAGCTCGGTGGGATAAATTTGGGTATAGAAGGACAAAATTGGGTGTCAACACGCACGACTAGTACCCACCTCAAAATCTGCACAAAAATATGCAGAAGTGTAGTATGAGTACAAAATCACGATACTTAATAAGTATCAAGTCTAGCTTCCAAGAAGTAGCGACGCACGATTAACACTATCACTTACCAATAGTACAATAAATAAGTAAACGCATAAATAGAACAAGAGATAAGGCCTGATATAATCAAATTGCTACAAAAGTAAAGGCACAATTAGATCCGAGTAATTAGACATGTGTGAGCGTATAATTTTTGCCCTACATAAAATTGCTCCTAAAAATAACTTTAAATTAGTAATTTATTCATTTAAATTTTTAAAGGATTTTTAGGAATTTTTATTTATTTAATTATTTTTGAATTTTAGCTATACTGTTGCATTATTAATTGCATTTTAGTTACACTTTAAAACACAAAAATCACAAAAATTGTATTAGTCATTCATCTTTGCATTTTAGAATTTATTAATTGCATAATTGATTAGTTAATAGAATTAATTGATAGTTTAATAAATAATTGTTTGATAATTCGGTAAATAGGTTATTTGTGCAAAAAGGAATTTTATTTAAATCAAGCTAAGTGGCAAATTGTAAAAGGTAAAGAAAGAAAGAAAAGGAGTTGTTTCTGTCCAAATCAAATAGGACCAAACATTTTTGTTGGCCCAATATTAAAAGGAATTTTTACATTCCTATGCCATATAGGAAGCTATATTACTCTCAATGTTTAAGGTTTGATATAATTACATTTAGTATACCTAATTACCAATTCTATACCATAAGGTGTTTTAACTATACATTAATTTTACCTTATATCACTCCTAAAGTTATGGTACCGTATATTCCTCCAAATCCCCATCCCCCACGTTTCTCTCTCCCAACCCCACACCCTCACCCACGTATCACCACACACCCAGAAACCAGAAAAACCAGAAAAATAATTGAAACCCTCTGCTAAATCCAGAAAAACAATTGAAACCCTCTACCATTAACGTCCAAAATCAAAGTTTTTTCTTCTACAACCAGTCAAAATTGAAGTCAAATCTTCAAAGTTTCATACACAGCAATAACTTTTGATGGTTATGATTTCGGGTTCCTTCAGTAATATAAGAGGAAAGGAAAAGAGAGCAGCAATTCCACCATTGACAGCCATTAAAAAGCTTTGAAGCTTTGAATTCAACTTTGGGTTTTCAAAAATCATTATTTGTTTGGATTGGGTGTTGTTGTAAATAATTGAGAATATGGTTTGGAGTTTATATCTCAATTTTGAGGGGTTTTGGTGAAGATTAGACTTGGTTTTGGCTGAAAATATATTGAAATTCGAAGAAGAAGAAGAAGAAGAAGACGTATATTGCAGAAATTGTAGAAAATTTGTAGATTGTTGTTTATTTATTTTTGAGCTTTGTGTTTTTGTGTTAAAAGTTTTGATGGGAGCTCGTTATTCCACTTCGTCTGTTTTGGAGCTAACTTGTGCAGAGGAGAAGATGTTTTTTAAGTTATATATATTGCTAAAACTTTAAATTCAAGAAAGTATGGTTGTATTGTATTTAAAGAGGCGTGAATTTGTAGAATATGTTGAATGTGAGGAATGAGTCAAATAAGAATCACAATGGCTTATTTTCTACATTTAATCTACAACAAAACTACATATCATTTGAAAAATTAATATGAAAATACAGAATTTCAATGTTTCTACAAATTATCTACAAAATTTCTTAAGAAGATCTATCCCTTCTATCATATTTTTTTGGATTCCATATTTAGCATAGCAGTTTCGAAAGGAGTAACAAGAGCATATAGGAGAATCACAGAATTGTAGCATAATCGGGATTTTCTACATAATTGCGTTTTTTGCAGAAGATTTGTAGAAGTTTTAGTCGTTTTTGATTTATGAAAACAGAAAACAAAGCATCTACAATCAGAATACAAATAATCTACAATTTATCGATAAAATATCTACAAACTGGGTACATTAAATTTTAATATCCCAATTCTCATTCAATTGTAGCATAATTGGGGTTTTCGATATAATTGCGCTTTTTGCAGAAGATTTGTAGAAGTTTTAGTCGTTTTTTATTTGTGAAAATAGAAAATAAAGCATCTATAATCAGAATACAAATAATCTACAATTTATCTACAAAATATCTACAAACTGGGTACATTGAATTTAATATCCCAATTCCCATTCAATTGTAGCATCATTGAGATTTTTGACATAATTACGTTTTTTCAGAAGATTTGTAGAAGTTTTAGTCATTTTTTTATTTGTGAAAATAGAAAATAAAGCATCTACAATCAGAATACAAATAATCTACAATTTATCTACAAAATATCTACAAACTGGGTACATACTTGGACTCAACATGCTTCCCCTGAAATGTATGTTTCACATTTTTTATACATATTTTTGTCCAAAACAGTACTAAATCATCCACTTAAATATAATTTTTATACAATATTGTTCAACTTTCATACAATAAGTAAATGAATAAAAGAAAAATAAGTAAACAACAGTCTACAATTGTTCTTCAATTTATCTACAATTTTTGTACAATTTCTGCAATATACGTCTTCTTCTTCTTCTTCTTCGAGTTTCAATATGAAATTCAGTCAAAACCAAGTCTAATCTTCACCAAAACCCCTCAAAATTGAGATATAAACTCCAAACCATATTCCCAATTATTTTCAACAACACCCAATCCAAACAAATAATGATTTTTGAAAACCCAAATTTGAATTCAAAGCTTTCAAGCTTTTTAATGGTTGTCAATGGTGGAATTGCTGCTCTCTTTTCCTTTGCTTTGTATTACTGAAATTTGGACATAATTGCGTTTGATGTAGAAGAACTGTAGAAGATTTAGTCGTTTTTGATTTGTGAACTGTAGAAGAATAATCAATTCGTTTTTGAATTGTAGAAGAATAATCAATTCGTTTTTGAATTGTAGAAGAATAATTGCTTTTGATGTAGAGACACTAAATTTGAAACGAAACTGACGAAGAAGATTAATGTGCGCGATTTGCGTTTGGAAGATCTGGAAGAATATTTAATCCCTCAATTTTAGCGCCTAAATAAGGAAGCCTACAACTACAATGATTCCTTATTTAATGCATGGTCTATATTTTGTAGAAATACTATTAGCATGAAGTGTAATATGCAAACTATGAACATATTTGGTAATATAGTTTCCTATATGGTATAGGAACGAAAATTTCCCTATTACAAAAATACCCGCCCAATCCTTTCTTCCAGTTAGCCGGTCCGTCTGCCCCAACCAAGCCCCAAACGGTGTCGCATAACCCCAAAATGATGTAGTCTCTCACCTCCTTATAGCAAAAACGACTAATCATCGCCTTTGATCTCATAATTCATCCCCGAACCCTCAAATGTCTAGCCGCCCCCTTTTCCCCTTTTCTCTCTAACCGGTCGCCACCTCCGCCATCGTGCACCACCGCCGGTGGTGGTTTAAGTCATCCTCAACTTATCTCAAAACTTCCGTCTCTTCATCCTCTACCCAAATATATTGACCATACCTCTCAATTTCTTCGGAAAGCCACGAATCGACCATAGAAAATTAAAAAACCTAGTTTATGTTCCATTTCCCAAATTGCCGTGAACCAGAGTCTCATTTCCCTTGAAAATTACATCAGCTGGTAGGTCTTGTAAAGATCTACTTGTTGATAATTTTAGCTTGATTCCACGATGGCCGGTGCCGGTCAACCCACTATTGCCCGGTGTGATGACCCAATAGGTCATCTAAGGTTTTAACCCTTAATTCTGTATTTTGAAACCTCAAATAGCTCCTTTAGCTTTTCTCTTTTTGCGTGCACAATCCGTGCCTTTTTTCGGAAGGCTTTTTATGTGAAAAAGTGATTAAAATGTGAAATCGTGCTTTAAAACTCACTTTGGTTGACTTCGGTCAAGATTTTAAGTAAACGGACCCGGATCCATATTTTGACGGTCCCGGTGGGTCCATATCGTGATTTGGGACTTCGGCGGATGTTCGAAATCGAATTTGGGAGTCCCTAGCTCGAATTATCGCAATTTATTGAAAACTAGAAGCTTAAAGGTTTAAAGAATTAAAAAGTTTGACTGAAGTTTGACTTTATTGATACGGGGTCCGAATTTTGGTTCCGAAATATGGTATAGGTCCATTACTGTATTTATGACTTGTATGCAAAATTTGGTGCAAAACGGAAGTGATTTGACGTGATTCGAACGTTCAGTTGTTCAAATGAAAGTTCTTAAGTTTTATTGAAAATTTCATTCATTTTGGTGTCTGATTCGTAGTTCTAGGTGTTATTTTGGTATTTTGATAGCGG